CCCCAAAACCCCAAAACCCCAAAACCCCAAAACCCCTGATTGTAAAAAAGTCTTGAAAGTATTTAAAATATTTAAAAATTTAAATAAATGAATTCAGGCTCGGTAAGGCTCTTGCTGGTTTATTAACCTATATATTAACATCAATTGGTAGACGGAATTCTTAACTCATTTATAGTCGAAAGGTTCTTCAATGTTTCTCTATACATTTGATGCAGACAAACCTAGGGAAGAGACTGAACACCGCGGAGTCCATCATAATTCAGTAATTACGAGGGATGACTCCTCCATTGGAATCAATATATTCACTAAGAACAGTAAATCGTCTTTCATGAATGATCATTCCTCTGACCAAAACACGCCATCAATGGGAAACTCCCATTATGTGTCACATCAGGGAAATCAGAGAAATTTAATGCTCATGAAAGAGTAAATTTTGCATAATTATCCATACAGAAAGTCAGGTGCCAGTCAAGAAAGGATAGGACCTCTTCAGCACGAGTTTGAAGAGTTTGTTCCAAGTGATAACATCAGCCAGAAGTCAATTCCGTACCCAGGAAATTCTTTAACTACAAAATAATGGTTATGTTACCCGAAATGTGATGATAGGGAACCAGCCAGCACAGTCAGTATCATCATATTCCTCAGCTAGAGGTCTTAACCCCCTAAGCGCATTATATAATAACCAAAAATCGTCACTAAAGAACACTACGATGACAGGGAACTCAAACCTGATTGGAGGGACTATGAACAGCCCATCCCAAGGTACTTTCTATTATCCTAAAACTTTAGTAAAAATTGCTCTCAACCATGGCCACAGTAGTAGCCAAGAAATCAGTACTCCATCTCAGTGCAAATACTGTATGGACACCAGCCTTAAGATCGACCAGCTTTCGGTTTCCTTACTGAAAATGAAATAAATCTAAGGAAAAGCTCAATATTGAACTCCTCGAAAAGGAAGGCAAGATCGTCATTTACGAAGAGAAAATACACCAGCTGTTGACGACTATTAGAACTTTGGAAAAATAAACAGAGAAAGCAGGCCAAAGCTCTAATGGAAATGGAGACCAAGGAAGTAATGGACCTGGCTGGCAAGCTCAGTGATGACTACACATACTTGAATTACGATGAAAGTGATCCCTCTCTTAAGAAGACAGATAAGAGGTTATCAAATAAACTTCGAGAGTCTCAGAGTCTTAAACCTTCAGTTGAAAGAAAACGGTCTGGGAATAGCAAGACAAAAATTATGGTGATAAAACCAAGAATTGATAAGACAGTCAGAGTTAGCTCCAATCTCTCTCGACCAAGCTTTGGGAATAACCTTAACTCCTCTATAAAATCAAATAAAGTCAAGATGATACTCGAAAGACACAGGAAGCTTAAGAAAAGAAGTAATGCAGATGTGTTTAATCCAGGAGAAACTATGGATATCAACCGGACTAAAATCAAGGCACTAAGTAATCAGGAAAGAAGAAACAAAAGTAGGTCTGATGTTAGCCCTAATCTTACTTGAGGAAGCTTCTTGAAAAACACATCTCAAATAATCACTGATAACTCCCAAGATCAAAGATCTATTGGGAGCATCCAGAGTAATTCACTTGAAGAAGAGGGGCAAATGAGTAATGCTAATATTCGTTTTCACGAAAACCCAGTGATGGAGGAATCAAGTACAGAAGATTACCAAGATACATACAAAAATTCTGAAATAATCACTAATTCTGAGATGACCCCTCTGAATGATGGTAAACATTTTAGCTACAAGCGCCAGAGTGATCCAGATATGCAGAATAACTTCCGCATGAACGCTCCAAGACAAGTTGATATTAGCAAACTTCGGGGGATGGCAGACCTCACACCAATGTCAGATGGCCTAATAGAAGTGCAAAATCTTGAGAAGAACGCTCCATTACGGTCATCCACAAACAGATGAATGCAAGAACTACAACTAAAGAAGTCCAAATAAGATCTGTAAATTTACTTATAATCTTTAGTCAAGAAGGGAAAGTACATTAAGAAGGAAAAGTCTAAAGTAACTGCTAAAGGAAAGAGAAACTTATTCAATTTAAAGACCTCTCCAAAGCAATACATGACCCTTGAAGATCCAAGAATGAAGGCGAGAAGCAACAAAAGTGTTGAAGCCTCCAATCGTCTGATTTGTAATAATACTTTATCTATAAAAGGGTAAGTTTACACTCATGAGGATTTTGTATTAACTCATATACAGATCCTTAGACAGGGCAGTAGCAGATAGTGACCTCAATACTTATTACAACACCATAGGTGCAGAATCAAGCCATGGTAGGAACTCAGCAATGACATCCCATTCTAATACTCAATGCTACCTCAAAAACTCAGATGGAATCGTTCATAATTTCCAGCAAGTAACCGACAAAATAATAAAGAAGCAGGTAACTCTCAGTTTAACTCTTCAGAGAAAGATCCTATCCAAGCCAAAAAGAACAACTTCAAACAAAGAGAACCAGATCAGGTCAAAAGTTGCTTACAGAACTCGTAAATAACCTGCTCAATTTCTGTACGCAATAAAGGGGTTTTGGGGTTTTGGGGTTTTGGGGTTTTGGGG